AATGGAAATGGACAACCTCCAAACAACGGAGATGGACAACCGCCAAACAATGGAAATGGACAACCTCCAAACAACGGAAATGGACAACCGCCAAACAATGGAAATGGACAACCCCCAAATAACGGTGATGGTCAACCGCAAAACAACGGTGATGGTCAACCAAAAGATGGAAAAGAACCCGACGAATATAAAAAGACAATTGATACTAAAACAATTGAACCAACTGCAACTTGTGGTTCTCCTAATGATCCTGGATGCAAACCTCCACCAGGAGTGTAAGTATATATTTATTATGATTAACATCAAATCATTCTAAAAAATTAATTTACGAAATTTTGCAATTGTAGTACTCCAAAAACCGAAACAGCTATACAAGAAGAAGTTGAAACTATTACTCCAACTCCAAAACCACATAATAATAATAATAATAATAATGATAAAGATCATAAGGATAAAACAACTAGCTGGACAACGACCACAACAACGGTTACATTATTTTTTGCCGGTTATACAACAACAATCACAACAAAAAATGATAAAGGAGAAATTACAACTTTCGCAACATACATCCCTCCATCTACCGTAGTTGTGGTGAAAAAAGTCGCTGTCACTGCACCTGCGGTTGAGGATCCAAATATTATTTCGGATTCAACCATGTTACAAAATTTTAATAGCCATGGCTTATGTGGTGTTATGTTAAGTTTAGCTGTTGTTGCCACATCTTTAATTTTTATGATCGTCGCGTAATTTAATTAATATTCTTTTTTTGTTTGTACATTATTTGAATAATATCTTCTAATTTATTTGTTTGTGAAACGTCTTTGCGGATTTTTTTCACGTGACGCTAGATCCACTCAATGTGAGCTAGCAAGTCCTCCTAATTTAGATTATCATAATTACTTGTAAATATGCAACCGAGAACGTTTGAAGTGTGCCCTTTGCTAGCAGCTCCGAATCAATGTTCTTATTTTATAAAAATTCTTTTCTCCTATAATTATTGAATCGAAATATCGAGATTCATTATAATTTTTTAAAAATAAATGTCTCCAGTTCTGATTTATGATTCAATATTTTCAAATAATTGGGTATTATGTATTATGTTGATTTTTGGTTAAAATTCGCAAGTTATATTAATTTATTTATTTTGATCCAAAACACAATATTCAACTCAAGTTTACAAGAAAGCTATATAAAATCTACTAATACAAAAAAAAAAAAAAAAAAAAAAAACTCTCAATGTTATAAATAAACGTCATCGTGAAGGATTCTAAATTGTTCCACCCATTGTGTCAAATTCGACATTACGTCTGTTTCCACTAGTTAAACTATGGCTACCTCCACCAACCGCTGCTCCACAATCAGGACATCTATTTTTTTAAATCAATAAATAAATATAATAAATAAATCAATAAATAAAAATATAAGCTTTACCTGCTAGCTTGCATTGCTCCTCCACATTCACCAATAGTATACGGATGACCATTTGGACATTCGTACCAGTGCCCTATAAATTGATAAACCTATTTTAAGAAAAAGCGATCAGATAATTAAATATCTCAGATGTTAATTTACCTGACCCGCTAAACTCGCTGCTCATTGCTCTGTAGATTGACACTTTTTCTTCTCGAGTTAATTGTCCATAATTTTCTGCTTTCTCTTGTAATTCATTTACATCATTCAATAACTTAACAATCCTCGCTTCGCATTGTCCTTGAAAATATTCTAAATTAATTTTTTGCAAATAATCCCGTTGTATTTTTTTACAATCTTTGCGGATTTTATTACATTTCTCTATAATTTCCCTTTTAATTGGTTCGGATATAGAAATTTGGGGGTTCATTCGATTGTTTAAATTAAATCTACCAACTTGGTATTCAAATTCCACCAATTCTAATGAAGCTTGCACTAGATGCCGTCCATATTTACTTTCTTCACATGTTTGAAAAATTTTTTCCAAATGGTTTGTAATTGAATCAATTATTCTGCCACAAAACCCGATCCAATTTTTTCGTGTTGCTAATACTGAAATATAACCTTGTCTTTCTTCTGAATGAGGCACTTCTGTATTCGGTAATTCTGAAATTATTCGAACTACTTCGTGAAACATAATTTTTTGAGCGTTAACAATTTCAAAGAAAGCGTCAATGTAAACACGGCGGTCTAATTGTGGTGCAATCAAACCCACTTCTCGAAGACTTTGCTCAAAGCGGACTGAGTCATCTGCGATGTTAATATTTTCAAAATTGAACACATCGATTGGAACCTTTGATTTTTCATTGTAACTATTATTGATAAACAAAAAAAAATTTTTTTTTTTTTTTTTGTTAAAAAAATGGAAGCATGTAAACAATTATAAAAACTTATATTACTTACAGACGTGTCAAAGCTGCATCAAATGCCTTTTTGTGAGGTGGGTTTTTTGTATGTGCCATAATCATTGTCAATTGATTATATGATTTATAGAGATCTTTAATATGATTTTGCCATAGCTTTGTTTGTTGTTCTGGAATAGAATGGTACTTTCCAATTTGATAAAATTGTTCTTTAATGGTAACTTCGGGGACAATTTTATCTGGACCCTCAATATTGTTCTTCTTGCTATTATCTGTCGAATATAATCGAATACTTTTAAACCTTTCCAACATATTCGGTCTGTTATTGTCCAAATTTCTTATAGCAGCTTCCAACGCATTTCTTTGAAATTTTAAACGGAGGTCATACACCATTAAAAATTTTTTGTTCTGAGTATCAAGAATTCGTTTTTTAATTGATCTTCCATATCTTTTAATGTTTTTAATGGGCGCTAATTTTAAAAAGAAATAGAAAAAAAAAAAAATAAATATAAATTATATGAAGAATATATATACATAAAATTACTCGAGTATTCACCTCGGCAGTTGGGACACGTCATCATTTTATTTTCTCCACTTTGCGATGAAAGAATTTTAAAACCCGTCCATCTTTCATAACTTCCCTCATAATAATTCATCATTTCCATATGACGGTCCATAGTATCCATCGTAAATACGTGACCACAATCCAGGATCACCATTCTTTCTTTACCCCAATCAATTTCGGCAAATGACTGAAGTTCAATAAAGTCGATCACTATATATTGAAAAGAATTATAAGTTTTATGAAGCAAATTGAGACGAGTTAAATCTTAATACACAAACTTTGATCTTTAACATCCTTCGGAGCACAAATTTCACAAAACTTCGGTGATGGACAACGTTCACCACATATTCCTGGACAACGGTGTCCACACACCAAGTTTTTTTCACATCTTAAATTACATGGTAATCTTGAACATGGAGCACCTGCAACAGTAAATATTTAAGTTAAGAATATAATTCAACAAATGATGATAATAAATACATACCACAAGATAGAAGACATCTTCCATGGGGACAACACCAATCACATGGTTCAGCACAAGCAGCACAAGGTTTAAAACACTCCAATTTACATGAAGAGTGAGAACAAGAAACTGTACAATTTGCTTTACAAGGTTTACATATTCTTCCTTCATGACAGACTTCTTCACATTTGTGGCCGCAAAATAAGTTTCTTTCACAAGGTTTTGCACATGATCCATGTGTATTCCTTATTATGAATCCATTCTCATCTAAAGGTGGTTCATCATTGTTTGCTTTAATTGAACGCTTCTGGCATTCATGACATGGTGCTGAACAACTAATTTATTAATGAGGTTTTGTTTAATAAAAAATTTTTGAGGAAATTTTTTTAAATATCTTGAAAAATGTCTTACATATGTTCACATTTGGTTAATTCTCCACATGGTTGTTTACAGACAATATCATCTACTGATTCATAACACTTTATTATCGCAAAAAGAGCTTGTTAACAGATCTGTCAAACTAAAAAATTACTAATAAATTTTTTTTAAAATTTTCATACCATTACTTCAAGCTTATGTCCACAATTAGGTAATGTTTTAGATACTTTTATGTGACAAAGTATTGAATCAACGTTGCGAGTTTCATAACACTTAGCTCTTGGATACAAATGACCACAAGAAGGCAACATTATATCACCAATGACCAAAGAACAATCACCTAAAGAAATAATGAATCATTAGAAATTCTTTTGAGAACTTACTTGTAATCGAATTGAAATATAAAATTGAGCATATACAAACCACATTTTTCGCCGCAAAACTTGCTACAGGGATGTAAACATTCTGGATGTAATTTAATACATTCCTTTCTGCAAAATATATTAATATGGTCTGGGTTATCAAAGTGACATTTATAAGGACCTATATTATATTTTGGATTTAAATACATCATTAGTATAAAACAAGTTGGAACTTATTGCACTTCTATGTGACAAATACATACATAAGTGTCCACATTCAAGTTTTTCCCCACAACTTTAATTTAGGAAATGATAAAGTAAGTAAATGTGTCCGGATAAAAATAATTTATTTGATAAAAAAACTTCATACCTCTCTAAACATCCTCCATCTGGTGCAAATTCAGAGAATTGTATGGGTTCACTCACGTAATTTCTATTCTTAGGATGTTGAGGACAGACGATAGGAAAAGAACCACCAACTTTTGGAGGATCACTGGATTTTAACATTTGAACCACTGATGACCACATAGGAGATCCGTTGGCCATTAACTCAGCATTACCGAGCAAATACATTCCATGTTTCGCTCGTGAAAGTAAAACATTAGTACGATTTTCTGACTTCAAGAAACCAATTGAACCTTTATTTGACTCATTTAAAGAGTTCCTCACAAGTGAAATGATAACTATATTGGCTTCCTCGCCTTGAAAATTATCAACTGTTCTCAGTGTAACCTAATAAAAATTTATAATAGTTTAAACAATATTCTTATAAAATTGTTGAAATTGAATTAATAAAATTTTTTTTTTTTTGCATACTTGTTGATTTAATGATTTTTTTGTTGCGATACTGATATTGCCTACAACATTACTTTCTGGGCTTTCTTCATCGTCATCATCTTCCATTTCTGCAAGATCTTGACTATCTCTCTCATCAATAACAACAGTAAATGTTGCTTTTAAAGCGTCACGAAGTTTCATCATTTGTCCAAGATATGGTGTAAGGACAGCAATATCATCTTCTTTAGTGTATCCATTTCTAACGAAATATCTCACCATTTCAATAATCATATTCACTTCATGTTGATTAGAATGCGATTGAATTGCAAATTCACTTTTTGTTTTATCTTCAGAGTGACGATGATTAATAAAATACACATTATGCTGAGCACCACGAACATTTGGATAAGTAGTGTTTTCTCCATCAATAAGTTTCGGATATATTGTGGATCTAATTAAATTAGAAATTTCGCCTCTCATACGTCTTTGAGTCAATAATTGAGATTGCTCAAGCCGTGTAGCTTTGTTACCTTTAACTAAACGTTCAAATAGACTTTCATCTAATCTATATTTTTTACCATTGCTTGATTCACAACTTAAGTTATAGGTAGCAACGTGTGGTCGTAATTGCTTATGATCTATTAAAAAAATTTTTTATTCCAAACGTAAATTTTCGAAAAAGTAAATAAAAAGTACACATACCACCAATGAGGATAAGATGTTGTGTTGATGGTGTAAGCGCTGAAAGAATATGAGCTTCTAGAACTTCTCCGGCCTCTTCACATAAAATAACTTTAGGTCCAATAGAACGAATAAGAGATTGAAATTTCGCAGTTCCATGTGTAGTCATTCCAATAACATCACATTCTTTTAAAATTTTTTTTCGCCTTTCATTTTGAACATTTTCGACTTCTTTTCTCTTTTCATCATGAGTTTTTTGTAACCGCGCTAAATCTTCAATACATTCCAAATTGAATTCCTGTCGCCAAAAGTCATGCAATGTAATTCGTTCGGCTTCGGACATATTCCAAATATTCGTATCGTCCTTTAGTTCCTCTAAAGGACGATTTGTTGTAGGTTCTGACCAATTCAACAGAAAGCTTTGCATGGAATCATAAATTGGCTCAACATATTCATCATCAACATCAAATTCGTAATAAAATTCATCGTTATTATCAAGAATACCATAGCTATTCAAATTTGATCTTTGTTTTTCTTTTCCTTTAAGTTGTCGTTTGTTTTGGTTTTTCATTGCTTGAATCATGGATTTGGCTCGTTTTATGTCCATTCCTTCTAACCACTGTTCAAACACCGGTTTATTCCTTGAAGCACTGCCAGCAGTTTTCCATGAAGATTCATCATCAATATCCATATCGTTATCGTTATCTAACAAAAACTTCGGTACTTCGGGATCATCATGATAATAGGAAAATTTGCTATAGTGTTCAGCAAATTCAAATGATAAATAAGGAGAAATTTCGTTCCAAGTTAACCATCTTTGACTCAATCTATTTTGAATCTTATCCGCATCTTTTTTAATGTCATCAAGCGATTTGTAGGCCTGAGCTAACAAATATGCTTCAATTCCCACAGGCCTTTCACGATTTCTAACTATTTCTTCGAGATTAAAAGGGGTAATTTTATCGGATCTCGAACGTCCACCTAATCTCACAATGTTATCAATTCCGGCTCTATCAATTAAATGCTTTTTTTTTAAGGGAAAGAAATTTAATTAATTAATTAATTAATTAATAAATATAATTGTACTCCCTAGTAACGCGATTATCTCTTTACCTCTAGAAATTGATCTAAAGCATGATTTGTAAAACAAATTGTTAGAATGGGTCCAAGCTTTATATTGCGATTGGTTGGCGCTAGCAAAACCTTCATGATTTCCACCCCAATAACGGTTTTTCCTGTGCCCGGTGGACCTAATCAAAAAAGTTAATTAAAAAGAAATTATGTACGATTTTTTGTCGATCCCTTGTGAGAGACACGGAACTTAGAATTGTTAAAATTAACCTTCAATCAACGCAATTTCTTTACACAATGAAGAAACAAGGGATCTAGCTGGAAAGGGTAAAAGAAAATGAATAAATAATAAAAGAACAGATTGAATGAAAACGAATTTAAAATACCTTGTGTATCATCTAATTTGTTTCCTTTTGAATCTATTATGCTTTCATTTTTAAGTACTTTAATTATATTTTCATGTTCATTTGTGTTAGAAACATTCAACAAAAGTTCTTTTTGCTTGTCTCGTAATAATACACCTAAATTAAAGTGAAATCCGGGGGCTCTTGCGTAGTCAGGTAAATCTACAACAGAATTAACGACCATTTCATTTGTCGGAGCCAAATACCTTTCAAAAGGAAGAGTTGAATTCATTGTGCTTTGCATAGTTTTCAAAATATGATAATAAGAATCCAAATAAACTCCTGTGGATTCTACCATAAAGCGTGAAGTCTTAACCATATTTTGATTTTTTTGACTTGAGATGTCATTTAAGGCTAATGGATAAACGGTCGCATCCGAGAAATTAATTTCGATTTCGACTCTATCGTCATATTTAGCTAAAAGTTTTTCATCTCTTTGCACAATTACACCAAAAAAAAGAGAATATTGTGTAGCATTAGGAATATTATTTTTATTATTCACCAAAGCTGTATTTTCTGTTGGCCAAAGAAGACAAACTAAATTTCCATTCATTAATTTCTTTGATCTTTGCCAGTAAACAATACGATCTCCCTTGGTTCTTCCGACATTTTTTGGTCCTGTAAATGCGATTCGACATGAAAATCCACGTCTTTTATCGACTGTAATTCCAGCAAAACGAACATTGGGATAAATATATAAATCTCCGTTATCTTGACCACTGTTGTATCTGTATCTACCACCTACTTCCCGGAATTTTTTTATCTGAGAATTATTCTGTTTTTCTGCCAAAAATTGTAAGAAATTTGTAATTCCTCCCCTAATAGGACTTAACATGTCTTCACGGAATAAACGAAACTGTGAATCAAGAAGGCGTGCAGGTCCTTCAGGAAGAAAATGTGGGGCTCCAGGAATATTCGGAGGTAAAAAAGGTGGCCTAACGCTGAAAATTTCTTCCTTGGTAGGAATTATGGAAATTTTTGTAATATCACTGAAATCGTTATTATGGCGTGGTCCATGTTCAGACAATTCGCCAGGAGGATCGTAAGTGCGCTTTAAATCAACAATTTGTGCCCTTTCTTTATAAGACCTTGAGGCATTATCCACTGAATTGAGCTCGTTTGGATAATTTCTCTGAGAATTATTTATCAGTTGTCTCATGTTTCTGAATTCTTTATCTAAAATATGGAAAAAGTAATGTTTTCTTTCAATATTGGAATTAATCGGGTCATTGGAGTCAATCTGATGTGAAATTTGCCAAGCGTTTTTTGAATTCTCTAGACGTCGTACAATATTATGCATTGTCTCATTGCTCGCAGCTTCTTTTAATCGACTAAGCATAAAATTACATAGTCTTACAAGCACCAAGAAAAATTGTCCAATTCTATTAAATATAGTAAATTTGCATTAATAACTATATATTGGCGAGGTTAATAAGCAAATATAACATACGATTTAGGTATAAAAGAATTAGGATCGTCTCTAAGTAATTCCGCTTGAGACGTATTGTTATCAGCTAACGAATTTCTCAGGACCAAAGTTTCCAACATAGGCATTACTTTGCCTTGCATGAAATCATCCTTTTAATGAACAATATTTATTTTAATATATAATTTAACGAATTAAGAATACAGTAGTCGATAATATAACGCACCAAATTATGATATACAATAGAGAATATAGCATTAATTTGGACTTCCAAAATACTATCAATTATTCCGGACCGAGTTAACAACGCAAGGAAAGGCAAAGTAACACGTTGGAAAGAAGCTACACGAGGTTGTAATCCGGCATCAACAGACATGGGAAACATGACAATTTCTCTTAAACGTTGTCTACCTTCAGGTCCTCCAAGATTTGTAATTAATTCCTCTACTTTGTATTCAGTTTCTTTAGAGGCAGTAACCAAACATGAATTTAGGAATCTGCGGATATGATGTTGATTAGTGAGTTCTTTTTTCAAATAACGTCTCCAGTTTGTATCCATATTATCTTCATTAGGGATGAATACAATTTTGTCGCTTCCTTTATACGATAATTCGGATGAATTGAAATTTTCGGATAAAATGCGAACATTTTCTCTTTCTATATCTAATGGGTTGCGAACTACTTGATCTCTGTTATTACCAATAGGACGTTGAGAAGCATCACTACCGCTACCACGATTTCCTCTTGCAGAATCTTTCTTGCGACGATAGCTCATGGTATAAGAAATGAACGATGGGTTATTAAAATGCAACGAATTTTACTGCTTATTTTATACCAAATATAATTTCCTTTTCGGGAAACAATAAAACTTTCACGTGAATAGCGGTAGCACCCGCCAACGATTTAAACCCAACTGGATATATCAAACGCCCACGCAGATCATTTTCATATTAAAAACTTGTGTAACTATAATTGAGTTACTTTACTCTAAGGCTCATGAATCCGGGATGAAATATTTTACCGGCCAAAAATCCGTAATCTTATAAAATTTACCGGCTATATAAATTTTTATTACTAATAATTTAAAAAAAATAAGTTTTTAAGTAAAATTTTTTTTTTTATTAAATTCATTTACATGCATTATTCCAAATTTGTACTGATATATTTTTTCTTTCAATCCAACCATCATCCAAAAATGTAATGTTTCATTATTTTCAACTGATGAAAATGGAATAAAATATATAATTCTTAGTAATTTAATAATAAAAAAGTATTATAATAAAATTCAATAATCTTGGAATTAATACTTCAATTTTATATTTCTAACGTTTAAATATACTATTACAAACCACTTTTTACCAATATTACTTCTTTTTTATAAAATTCTAATAAAATATTTAATACTTGTTTACCATATTTTGTAAGTTCTTTTTTATCTGATCAATTTGTATGATCAAGTATTTTTATAGAATTAAATAAAGGTCTATTAGGAATTTTTTTTTAAATTTCAAAAATAATAGCTGATATAAAAAATTGAATATCTATAATTTATTTTACATTATAATTTTTATTTCGTGGTTTGATATTTACCAATATTACAATTTTCACCTAATGATACATTTAATAAAGATCTATTTAAATTTTTTCTAATAATAAATTTTCCTTAAAGCTTTAAATCAGATCAGATTAATATATTTATTTGATCTGACCTAACCTAAAAATTCAGATCAAATTAGCAAATTTTCAGATTAATATCAAATCAGATCAACAGGTTGATCTAATCTAACCTAATCTGATAAATTTTAGGTTAACCAATCATTCTTCTTGAACAATTTATTATCATTAAATTAGAAATAACAGAGTTGATTAAATAAATTAATAATTATTTATTATATTATTATTTATATTAAATATTTTTTTATTTTTTTTCTTTTTCAGTATTCGATAATACCAGAGAGGTCATTATGGCGAAGGAATCATA